ACTCATTTAGACACGGAAATCAATTTATTTCTCATCCTTGGAGTATATAGTGTCTTTCAAGATTAAGATATCTCCATTAGCAACTATAAGCACGTATTACCAATTCCAAGAACTTGTTCCCTTTGAGTTCCACCCACAAAAATGTGTTAAGAGTGCCGGGCTTGATCTCATGAAAATTACGAAATTTATTCATGGTATTACTCACATGAACCATAGCACCTGAATCTAGGCACTACGTATGTATCCTTTCATCTCCTATTATTGTTTTATGGGTGCAGTTTGGATAGATCCTAGGCTCTAAAATCAAATAAGACCATACCTTCAAATAGTGCCGAGAAATATCGTTTCAATTCTGGAAATCTTTGTGATAGCCTTAAAATATATTTTTATCTTTATTTATAAAGTTTAAAGGTTCAAAAATAGTGCAGATCAATAGATCTATGAAAACTTGAAAATCTTGAAAAGTGGCAGTCCAAAAATACATTACAAAATATACTATTTCCAAAACTTGAGATCCATTTTTTTTTTTATGTCCATGTATCTTGATGTCGAGATGATCAATTTGAAGATATTTGAACATCAAAAGAACCTCTTCTAGTGAAAATTTTTAGATAAGCTCAAATTTGATTGTTTTAAACTTTTCCCTTGTTTTATTAGTATTTCATTGTACACTCCCAGTATTTCCCAGACCATTCGTGCCGCACACATTCACATCATAAGTATGGAGCGAAAAAAAGGGATTAGAGTTTACCAAATAGACCCTAGGTGTTGGTCCATTTAGGATCCCGGCCCGGCTCTCTTCCTCGGCCTCAAAGAAGAAGGTCATGTCCTCAACGGAAAGGGGATTATCACGTGCGACTAAGTTGGCCAAGAAATTCTCTCAAGGGAGAGCGAGTGGACAAAACTAGGGTGGTTTGAGTCGGGGCATCAAATGACATGCCAACGGCTTCCGCTCCTTTTATCATGTGCCTAAAATTGGGGTAAGGTTTCTATGCTTCTCCTACAACATAGAGGATTTATGCTTTCCCTACCATCCAGCCGTCAAATTTTGATCAAGAGAGCAACTCATCATTTGATCTTAGATCCGACGTCTCATAGTATTTTATTTTTAATTTTTTTATACAAATTGTATGAATATGAAATTTGGTATGTGCCATCTTCTCAATGGGGCGCACCTATAAAAAAATATTAAAAATAATTTTTCAATGAAATATAATGATCAAAATACCCTTTGAAACTTTCATAGGTATTTTGATCATTTTATTTTATTAAAAATATTATTTTTATATTTCTTGCTAGTGCAAGTTTAATAGAGGATTGGACTTCCAAACTTTGATGTCAAAATAGTTTATCGAAAAATAATTAAAAATAAAATAGTGTAGAAACGTAACATTGTGATTGGAGCAATCTTAGCTCTCCATTGGAGCAATCTTAGCTCTCCATTCAGAATGGAATGTTGGATAAGGAGAAGTATATAAGTTTTATGTTATAGGAGAAACATGGAAAGCTTGCCCCCCAAAATTTCTTACATGATCCCCGATCCTAGCATGCTCAGGCATCCGATAGTCAAACAACTTCCTCATGATCATAATTTTTCGGGGATAAAGGGGTTGTATCATAGGTCTTCTCCATTTTCTTCCAAAACTTCTTTTGCCGGCCGACCACCTCTCATGCTCTAGTATATGCATGACATGTAGTCGGTAATAGAATATTCATGGTGGTTCGTTTCGGCCTCACCCAAATAGTATAGGGATCCTGGGTCACTTGGGTAGCATTGGATCTAGGCTATGAAGAGGGTATTGGGTGATAAGTGGAACCAGCCCCTCCTCAAGCCACCATATCCAACTTTTCTTCTCCAGGTAATTAGAGCCATCGAATTACTCATCCTTGAGTAGTTCGGTTGGTATTGCCTTGGAAACCATAATCAAGCACTAGAGCACTCTCCTAAATACAATTTAAACTCAAGAAAACTGAAACTAGGGACCTTTCTTAGATAACACTTGATCGTGTACAGAACCATGTCCGACTTCAAAAAAATCTCTTACAATGGACTACACAACTTCAAAATACAACTCAATTATATGACATTACTTTCAACTTCAACCACTTACAAATGAATTGCAGCATTAAAAACATTTATATACTAGAAAAAATACAAGGATTACAACTCTTTACATAGGTCCAGCAAAGCCCAAATAAAACTACATGAGGAGATTTGAGTATACACCTCTTAAAACTCTTTTAAGTGCTACAAAATACAGTACAATACAAATGCAAGGCAAAAGTACACATCAATTCCAATTATATAAACTCCATGAAGCTCAATTTTCACACAAATAAAATAATACTCGAGTGCTCAATGGATTTTGAACATGGGATGCTCAATAGATTTTGAACATGGGAAACCAAAGGTCAAGTCCTTTGTGGACGGTTTATAGCCAACGACTTTGTTGCATACCATGAAATGACATATTCAGCTTGCACCAAGATCTTGATGGGAAGAACTTTGGCACTTTACATCAAAGAAGCAGCTCAAGCATTTTGATGAAAATTGTGGGAAATAGTGGGAGAAAATCAGCTCAAAATAGCTCTCAATTTGATGATGAAGTGTGTATGTAGTTTATGCGAGGAAAAGCTTTAGTATAGCTACCATTTGAAATTTCACAAAATTAAAATATCAAGGAGGAGATTGAATTGACTAATTTGAATCCGAAAGTTATAGAGAAACCAAAGAACTACGGATCAAATCAAATAAACCATAACTTATTTGAACAAATTGCCAAAGGACAAATCAATCCAATGCGCCTTGACATCACCACCGCATCATGCTCTTGTAGCAATGATGTCCACGTAGCACCCGTTGGCCATTTGAACGTCCTGTGAGACCTAAAGGTATGTGCCCTTGTCATTTCTCAAAATAATTTCAAAATACTCATTATTTACTCCAAAAAATATTCAAAAGAATTATCAAACTTTCCCAAAATTCTCCGAAGCATACACTTTTACTTTGACATCACATAAAAATATCAATGAAAAAAATTAAGATTCCATAAAGATGAGTAGGATATCAAAGAGTCCCACTTGACTAGACCCAAAATCCAAAGTCATTTTCTCAGGATGACATAACAAGTTCATGACCCATTATCTGGTAAGGACTCATGCTAACTTCTTAAGTCTATCCAATATGTTGCTTTGGATTTTCAAAATACAATGGAGCTCAAATGCACCCGAAAGACGAGCACTCTTGTGGATGCAAAGGTCCACTCATAGCACCTGTACATTCTTCCAAGTGGATCAACTATATAAACGCCGCTTTCCATTTGGGACCATACATGCGCATGCAATGAAAAGGTCGGTTAGGGATGTACATCCATATCCTCTCAAAGCCATTAACATATATTGCTCCAGCGTCCTCAATACTCGATGGTTCTCGTCACCGTGGTCACCACAAAATATGCGAAATATGCAATTCAACCCTGATTACAAGTAGTGCTAAATGCTCTCGATGCCTCTCGTTCTCATTTCTCATGACATGAGAATTGTGACTCGGTCCCAGTATGCCAAGATCCAGAGTCCCATCACTCTCGCTTACTCCTATTGTGATAAAGAACTATAAGATAATAGAATTCAAAGACTTAGAAGGCCAAAACTAAAACAGCCTCGATGGTTTATATATATATATATATATATAGAGAGAGAGAGAGAGAGAAAGAAGTGCAATTAGCTACGAATGCATCCGTAACTGTAGAGGTAAAGTACACTTTCAAATTATATATATAGGTGCAAGTAGCATACGGATGCATCCGTAGCTGTAAAGGTAAAATGCACCTTCAAAGTTTATCATGGTATATAATTTTACTGTAAAATGCTCTTAAGATTATCTCAAAATCTATTTTATATCTAATTATAAAATTTTAAATTTCAAAATTAGTTAAAATCAAATAGATCTATAAACATATAAAAATCTTGAAATGGACAACGTAGATAATATACACTATTTCTGAAACTCAAAATCTTTTTATTTTTCATGGTCATAAATTTCAATATCAAGATGATCAATCAAAAGGTGTGGCTTCTATAAGATTGCAAACCTTAAACAATCCAATTAAGTCACACCTTTAAATGTTATCATAACATGCAATTCTGTGGTAAAAATTCTTAGTATTATCTTAAAATCTATTTTAATAACTTGAAAGTTTTAAATTCCAAAAATGGTTAAAATTAAATAGATCTATAACTATATGAAAATCTTAGAAAATAAACGATCTAGATAATATGTTGCAAGATGCACCATTTCCGGGATTCAAAAACTTTTTTTTTTCATATTCATAAATCTCGATGTCGAGATGATTGATTAGAGGGCTTTTTCAACATTAAAACAACATTTCCAAAAGATTTTTCAGATGCACATGTGATTCCACATTTTTAAGGTTGCAACCTTATATAAACTTTTCCCATATATATATATATATATATATATATATACTAT